CATTGGTATAAATCTTCCTAATCAATTTGAAAAGGATGTGTCTGAAGTGCAAAATGATGTACCCTATTTTAGAACATTAGATAACGAGGAAGACATTTTCATGTCTACATGTGAATCTGAGATGGAGTATTGTTCCGTCAGGTCTGAAGATGGCACAAAAGATTTGAAAAAAGGTATTTTTTTAATAGTAAAGAAAAATTAAAACGAGCTGTGACAATTTGGAGTTTAAAAAAAATAAAGAATTCAAGGTGGTGACATCAAACAAGAGTTTATGGGTTGCAAGATGCAAGTTTCATACTTCATTGGGTTGCTTGTGGTTTCTCCGAGGACGAAAGGTTGGAGATAACCTTTGGAAAATAGGAAAATATATTGAAAATCATAGATGTGAGACTGAGGGGCTTTCTAGAGGTCATGCCAATCTAAATACCAATTTAATTGCATCTTTGATTCTTAATCAAATTGAAAAAAATCCCAAGGTTTTGGTGGTAGATGTTATTTCCAAGGTTCACGAAAAATTTGGTCATCAAATAACATACAAAAAAGCGTGGCTTGGGCGTCAACGCGCATTTGAATTGATGTATGGTGACTTTAAGAAATCATTTAGTGACCTACCCAAATTTTTTGCAGCTTTTCAACACTTTAACCATGGAACAATTGTGGAATGGAAATACGAAGAGTCTATGAGTTCATTAGTGGTAAAAACTTTTAAATATGTATTTTGGGCTTTCAAGTCATGCATTGATGGATTTCAAACATGTCGCCCTGTTATTTCAGTAGATGGAACTCATATGTATGAAAAATATGAGATTAAATTATTGATTGCTGTTGGAATTGATGGAAATGATAATATTCTTCCTCTAGCGTTTGCTATTGTAGACAAAGAATCGAAAGAAGCATGAAAATGGGTTTTTAAGAATTTGAGTGCACATGTCATAAAAGATAGAGAAGATATTTGTGTTATATCTGATAGGGCAAAAGGAATATTGACAAGTTTGCAGGAGTTGCGGAGATTTCAGGAGCCTCGAGTCTTCCATCGATATTGTATAAGGCATCTTAAGAGTAATTTTCAATATCGATTTCCAAACAAGGATCTTAGTAGGCTGATGTGGAGAGCTGCTTCAACCCATCAAGTAAGAAAATTTGAGTCCTTGATTTGGCAAATTAGAGAAGAAAATGAAGATGCATATGAATATCTCATGGAAATCCCCTTGGAGAAATGGAAGGTTAGCCATGATGGTGGTAAAAGATGGGGAGTGTTGACAACAAATCTTTCAGAGTCGTTCAATGGAGTGTTGAAAAAAGCACGTGGCTTGCCGGTCACTTCTATGGTCAGACTTTCATTAGAGCAAACTGTTGAAAGATACACTCGTAGGTCTAAAAAAGCGCAACAACTCCTAGAACAAGATGAATTGTGGACCGAAAGGTTCAAAATGAAGTGGGAGAGAACTATAAAAGTTCAAAAAGGCACTTTGTTTTTTATTGGAATATACCCACATGGGTATTTGAGTTTAGATCTATTCAAGTTGATGGTACTGGTGGTAATCCTCATTGTGTTTCACTGAATGAAAGAAAATGTGATTGTGGAAAATGGGTTAATTTACATTTCCCATGTTCACATGTCATGAAGGTTACTGATAGAATGGGAGATCTAGCTAGAAACTTTGTTAGTGAACATTTCACTGTAGAGAATTATGTTGCAACATATTCTGGGTCCTTCTCACCGGTTGTCCATAAGGCGTATTGGCCATCTCCTAATTTTAGAATGGAAAGTAATGAATTCTATCGTCGTCTCAATCGATCAAGGAACAGTAGAATACCCAATGAGATGGATCGTGGTGCTGCTGTATATGAGCGAGCTTGTGGATTATGTAGACAAACCGGACATGATAGGCGTCGATGTCCAGATCGTAATTAAAATTAAGTGGACAATTGTGTTAGGATCGAAAATAAGCAGGTGTAAACGCGGAGGCTAGCAAAGATAACCTCGAAAGACCACGAGTAAGAAGACAACGAGAAATATACCAAAAGACACAAAGATTTAACGTGGTTTGGTCAATCGACCTACGTCCA